CGGGCTGCTCCCGGGGGTGGGGGGCAGTGCTTTGGGCACAGGCAACGTGAGCTATGGAGGGTTTCAGGCAGGGTGTGGCCCAGGCGAGGGGCCTGCCAGACTGGCCCAGCTGGGCAAGGGCAGAGCCCGGACCCGAGAGGCAGCAGCAGTTGTTCTGGAAGATGAAGGCGTGAAAGGTTGTGGGGACCAGGACCTGGGGAAGGTCTTTGAACTCAGGCTGGCAGGGAACAGGATGGAGAGAATGGGGTGGGTGGCTCATTCGGGCCCCCGGAGTGGGCAGGAGAGGGCTGGGTGTCTAGACAGGCCTGCAGAGAGGAAGGGGAGTGGCCCACAGGTCCACAGCAGCACAGAGCAGTGAGCAGGTGGCAGCTGGAGGCTGGTGGGGGCACCGAGGGGCTAGGACTGCCCTGACTCCCTGCTGGCCTTCACCCCTCCCCATGCTGGAGGAAGCAGGCACTGGCCTCATCTCCCCTCTGTCCCCTAGAGCCACCTGACAGAGACGGAACTCAGGGTGTTCTGTGCACCCATCCCCGCATGGGCTCTCTGGATGGAGGGCCCTGAGCCCCCTGGACCAGAGGAAAGAACAGAGCCCCTGGCAGCCTCTGCGCAGGGCTGGGATTTCAGGCTTGGCTAGAAACAAAGGGGTCCCAGGAGGGAGGGGACTGCCCGAAAAGGGCTGCTGCCCCCTGGGGTTGTGGGCTACAGGGCCTACCCCAGTCTCAGGGGGGCCCTGAGTGTCCACCCCAGTGGACCTTTCCAGAAATGGCTGGGCCATTGTGCAGAAGAATGCCCGGAAATCCCGCGCCTCCCTCCTCCAGCGAGGATGGGGGCTCTTCCTCCGGGCCAGGAAACTCCAAGTTGACTTCCGGAGGGTGGCCTGGGGGCTGGGGTGCCAGGGGCAGCACTGGCCAGTGGTGGGAAGGCCAGGCACAGCTCCTGTCCCTATGTGTCTCTCCTGTCCGAGGGCCAGGGTAGGCCACCAAGCCTGGGCCACCACTGGCGCTGGCCCTAAAGGGCACAGCCTGAGCGCTGGGTCACCAGGGAAAGCCAGGGGGCTCTGCGAAGAGGTGGCCTCAAAGGCTGGGGGATGGGCAGAGGAGCAGGAAGAGGAGCAGCCCCCGCGGAGGTAGAGAGGTCTGGGAAGCCCCCAGGAGGGGAAGGTGGGAATTGCTCCATGCGGCCGGCTTTGAGCCAGGGCCTCAGGCTCCAGAAGGCAGTGAATCGTGTGGGCGGAAGGGCTGCGCAAGACCACGGATGAGACCGGGGTCTTGGGCCTGCCCCCCACAGGCCTGCCTGGCACCTCCGCAGGGTATAGCGTGGGAAAAACAGTGCGGGACCGGAGGGACACTGGGGACTGAGCTTGCGGAGAATGGGCCTGGGTCGGCGGGGCTTGGACTCCAGGGCGGGCTTCCTGGAGAAAGGCCAAGCTCAAAGAAGGGGCAGGGAGACGCCCCCCCCCCCCACAAAAACACGCAGGCCTCTGTGCAGGGACGAAGGGGTTGGGCCTGGGGTAGGGGGCTCCTGTAGACCCCAGGGAAAAGCGCAGCTGGCGGGACTGGCGCAGACCCTCGGGTTCTGTCGGGGACCTGGAGGCGGAGGAGACGTGCAGACTGCGTAGTCTTGCAGCCCAGGTAGTGGTGGGGCCCGGACACGCTGGGAGGTGGCCCGCGGGACGCGACTAGGACAAAGCCCGGTGGGGGTTCCCGGGCGGCGGCTCGGCAGGGGGGG